CTAGCGTGCTTGAGATCTACCAAACCAGCCTTACTTTCTACAGCTTCAGGACGATAGAGCTTACACCACTCACAACATCCAATTTATGGTCACAGACTTCAAGAGTAAAAAGCCGTAATTGAAATCATGCCATCCACCAAAGCGGTAGATGTTAATCGTGCCGCTAATATCAAAAGTCCACCCTTTACTGAAATATACAGGACCGACATCCTGACACCCGCCTGGTAATAGACAGATGGAGAAAACTAATCGAGATACGATTGGGCTACTGAAAGCCTACATTATAAATGCACAAAAGAAAGACTTAGATTTAAGTCTAGGTCTTGTTCCCATACAAATAGAGCAGTAGTCTATAGATCAATCAGCTTTTGGCCGTATGAGGTGCCCACAATTCGGAGAATAAGAACATTAACCAGTATCTTCTTATCCAGTATGGAAGCAGCAACCAACGATGTCACAGCACACATTACTGCTGAAGAATGGGGTATAACAAACTAGTAGCATCACACGGGAACACTTACGGCTGCCGTATTGTAAGTAGAGAAAATATTTTGACAAACACGGTCAGCTTAATGTATGCCAAGTAAGGTTCCACCATACTAGGATCAAATATGCATGCAAAGTGGTAGGTCATATTGCAAACAAACAGCTCAACCTGTTACCTTTCGGCACAGCTAATTGTTCTGCAAATGAATAAATAGTCCGTCAAATCCAAAGGTTAAGTTTACTTGCTAACGGTGAAAAGAAGACCATTAGTAAAGATGTATACAATGACCATTAATAAGGGGAGCATCAAAAACGGTGCTTAAAAGAGGATGAAGTTCTGTAATGCTTGTTTGCTTGATTACGCCCTTGAGACAAGAAGCGTTCAGTGAACACGGGGCCCGTGACGAAACGGTCGTCAACTACTATTAAGGGAGAAGTGAATTCTGAACATGCATCACCAGGCTGTGAATGAAAAAACAAGCATCGAATTTAATGTAGCTATCACTGGTTAACTGTACGAAGAGCACCTAAAAGCAGTGAATGTGCTTCCAGCTGGCAATGCAAATGAGCATAACCAAAGGTATTTTTGCCATTTACAAAACACAGACAAAGTTTAGCCATCTATGAGGCTTATGCGCAGGCATTATCCTGATAGTGACCAATTAGGTCCAGCGATGCTAATTTGAATTGTACTCTCAGAAGAAACATTCACTGCGTATTATACAAACCAGTAGTTTAAGTGTCGCCTACCACTTCTGGTTCAGTACTTTACATGATAGGTTCGTATTGTTACAATCGTAAGAGATTTTTTATAAAATCTTAGCCAAACTGTCAAATGCATACTCTGACAAACCTAGAAGTGCACAGCGGACAAAATTGTCTTCATTGAGAAGACAAATCGGATAGCTGTAATGAGGTTGCACGCAAAGGTATAATTCAGGAAACCGGATTTGTCACATTTGCTTTTTCATGTGCTGCCTTGCACCGGTGCTGAGCAGACTGATATCAGATCGAAAAAACTATGAAGTAGCATTTATCAGTCTTTACGGCACATGCTACTTCATACAGGAGTTTGCATGTACTTATTCGATTTACTTTTATATCAAAACTACCATGAATAAAATTGCCTTAATTAATTCTAGATCCTTGTTGATGGATGCACCCAAATAAAATCTAATTTCTCTCAACAAATAAACCACACTTCCAAGGGTGGATGCACTCAGTATCTTCAAAGTCTGAACGAGCTGGTGTTTACTTTTTTTGGTAAAATGAAGAATCGTGGGTCAATATGCAAAAATTACTGCTCATATTAGAAGGGGGTAAATGTTACAAGTCAGCCATGATGTAGATCGAAATCCTTCACGGGATCCGTTTGTTCAGTGTGTCTACAAATCCATTCGCAAATGCATTGCAGAAGTTGGACCTTCTGTTACCAATGGAAAAGCCTTCTCCATTAGAATAGTCTACTACACTTGTATACAGCTCCGGTCCGCTTCAGCTCTAGAAAAGAATCGCACCCATACCAAGTGTTGTGTAAAAACAGAAATAGCAAATTTGTTAGGGGAAAATTTTAACTCCATTTAGTTAGTCTAATGGTAGACTGTTCATAGTT